TTATTTTTCGAATAAGTGTCAATATCAAAGGGTAATGCTTTATTATCTATGAAACCACTTGAATTTTTGAATTTTTCGATCAATCGCAAGATTAGCAACAAAAGAAATTTTATTAAAAATAATAAAATCTCTGATAATTATTTATAGTTATATTATCTATCCACAAATCTTGTTGTTAATTTAAGTTAGTTTATGGAAAAATGTTGTTTAAAATTGGTAAAATTGGTACTTATAATTTATTTATATTGAAAAAGCAGTCGATAGCTTTTTATGTGGGTTTCTATGAAAAATATTTTATAAAAAAGGCATGCCAATAAGATATTACACTAGATTAAGAGATTACGTCATTTCTATATAATGTCTGACAATCGAGTGGTCAGGTTCTAGGTAAGCTGGATTCGCTGAATGTTCTTTAATGAACTGGAACAAAGTAACCACGATACCTTGTAGTGGATCTGAGATCAAAGAGAAGTCGAAAGTCATTATGTATTCGGCCGAGAGCGCATATAGTGGACAAACTCAGATATTGCAAAAACATCGAATTCAAAAACTAGTGATAGACAAGAGATTTATCAACCCTTCTGACAAATTCTCTAGCAAACTCGTTACTCTGAGCAGACAGTATTTCAAAATTCTCAAGGGGTTTTTAATAGAGCATGGTTGGTTGAAGTACTATCTTAATAAAATAGGAGACAAGTATCTACCATTTTTGTAAATATAGATTGAAATGTCAAAACACATTCGTGAATGCCCAAAACTGAGCAGCAACACACATCCATTTGAAGTACAGACGTATTGCTTATTGCTCATAGTATGCGGAACAAGACTAAACCGTTAAAAGTGTCAGTGGTCAATGGGCTAGAGTTTATTAAAATCTAATAATCGGTTGAAACCACTACAGTTAACACAATCATTCAACCTAATCGCGAGTTAGACTTGTCCCAATTTCATCAATAATCCACAATAATAATAATATTTTTAATGAAGGGATTCCCAATTCTAGAGCGCACTGCTTTAAGAGCGGATTATGAAAGGTCGCCTATTCTTAGTAACTTTTTCCACTTCATTATAAATCGATATAACTTGGTTTTCGAAATATTCTGCAAGCTAAAGGCTCAAGGCTTAGTTAGTCGGTACGTACCGTAAAAACTTAACCGAACTTATGTCAAAGCGAAATGCACAAGCAACCATACCTGTACATTTGATATGAACGAAATAAACAAAGTTTGTAGCTTTTGTTTCGAAATAAATCTATTCATGTGAATAACAAATGTTAAATATAGCACAAATATATTTATTAAAACAAGAAAAAGTCGGAGTACCAGTTAACAGCACCAAAAAGGAAGAACAATTTCACAAAAATGTCTATAGGAAGACATTAAATAATTTCTACTATATAAAATACGAAAAAGTTTTTATAGAAAACCATATATATAACATTTTCAAGATTATTATTTATTAATAATTAAAAATCAAATTTTTAGTAAGTAAATTTTGTAGCGATGACAACTTCCATAATCTCTCAAAAAAAAAATGTTTGATAACTAATCTATAATGATCATTACAATTAATATACAATCGAGTAGATTGTACATATATTCTATAATATTTAAAAAAAAAATAAATTTTAATAAATCTTTAAAGTGAACATACAAAATAAAAGTATTAAATATATATTAAAAATAATTTATTGCTTTATATTACTTAATCCAAACTAAATTTAACCACTTTCATTGGACTTTGCTTCTTCGGTTATCAATATTATCAACTTATGACAGTAATTGAATAAAAAAAACCAAAAAAATAATAAAAATATGAAACGGATTTGTTACTTATTATTCAATTTCTTAATCTTATCGATTAAAATAAGTTAATATTAATATAAAAAAAAAATGGCAATTATCACTTCACTCTGCACCACAGCCAGCCTGGTAGCAAATTCAAACCAACAAATTTTAATAACAACAATTAACTGAATAAATAATCATGTCGAATTTCACATTATAGATTAATTCACGAAAGGAACATGGAATACAAGAACCAAAGTCACCGGAAAATCCAATATGAATAACTTTTAGATTATTCAGCTTTTGTTTGTTCTGCAAGGGGAAACGCGTCAACACTTTCAGTACAACCATCACAGCAATTATTCGTACTCATTAAATTATAACAACAAAAATACTAAATAAAATAAATCAAAAGCATCGGGAAAAATATCGTTAACTGGGAGATCTAAACAACTGATTTGTTATCAATAAAATTGTTGTGTGGAAACCATGGGGGTAAAGGTGCACTTTTGACGAATACTACAATACATTATTTATACAGAACTTTTAATGCTAGAGCTTCATTACTTTCAATTCAATTTAATTCGTTATAACTAAAATATTTTTTAAATAATAATAAAAATCGTTATTTTATTCTTAAACGTTATTTATCATTTATTTTTATAACAGAATTTCAAACAGAATTAGATTGAATTGAATGTAAATTTGAACAATAAAAGTTTAGTTGAGTTTTGCCTCTTTCGGTTAATGCAATAAAAACCCGGCACTTCTAGATCTTTAATCTGGCACTTGCAGTTCAGTCATTGTTGTAAATACTGACTTATACAACCAACGAATATTATTAAAGACCATGATAACTATTTGACAATACTGTTCTAATTTGAGTGGTCTAAGCCTGGCTCTTCAAGATATTAGTCCGGTACTTGCAGTCAAACTATTATTTTATTACTGACCAACGAATATTATTAAAGACCACTGATGATGAGTATTTGGCAATTCTGTTCTTATTTGACAGGTTTTAAGCCCGACACTTCAAAATCTTAGCCCGGCACTTACGGTACAACAATTATGGTATTACTGACTTAACACACAAGAGATATTATTAAAGACCACTGATGATAATGAGTATTTGGCAATACTTGAAACAGCTGAGTAGTCAACCAAAAATATTCAATTAAATATGAAATTTTTGTTGTTGGTATCCAAAAATGTTGGTAATGTTATATTTAAACATAGTTTATTTCGACATATGTGGCTAGTTGAGTTAGTTGAGCACTTTTACTCTCTATTAACTGCGGGGATTTTTCATAACCCTTCTCTACGCCTTAAGTGGATTTTTGTTTATCACTTCATCAGACTAAACAATAACTGACCTCAGATCTGCATACCTCCCCAAGAAACCTGTCACCATTCTGAGATTCATTAGACTTAGCAATATTGACCTCAGATCTGCATACCTCCCCGAGAAACCTGTAACCATTCTGAGATTCGACACGCGGTGTTGGTACCTTGAAAAGTCTCCTTGAAGATGATCTGCATTTGCTAATGCGGATGTAAACATTCATTGCAACCCTTGTTCGATAAGTAATTTTGAAACAAGTTCAGCTACCACTTGTTTCATGTCCAAAAAATTCGTTAAAATCGCTTTTGGTAAACCAAAAAATATTTGTTTTACATTAGTAATATTTCTAAAGGTAATCTATGAATAAGGAAGCACAATCAGTTAAACTTTTTAAGGACACTCAGACCTCGCGCCATCTTCAATGTCTTCTTAACCTGCTAACCTCAACTATCAATAAATACTATTTTAAAAATTTTATCATAATATTGTTATATTATTATAATCATCAACATCAAAAAGCTTTACAACTTTATGTGAGCTTTAGCTTCCTCATACATCATAATTACTTGTTCAATCTTTACGACGGTTTTTATAACACCGAATAAGTTTTCGCACTGGTTTTATTAGATTTTATTAAGCAAATTTAAATATTTGCATCAGATACAGTCAGATTTAGAGATAAACGAAGGCGAGAAGGTAAGAGCTTTAATTGTGGAGAAGCATTCGACTACAAAATTCTGTGTTAACAACTAGAAAACTAGGCCTAAACTACCACCAGATCAACATTATATATTCAAGTATGAAATCCTGTGTTAACTAGAAAACTATACCTAAACTACAACCAGTTCAACATAATATATTCAACTATGAAATACTGTGTTAACAACTAGAAAAGTAGACCTAAACTACCACCAGATCAACATTATATATTCAACTATGAAATACTGTGTTAACAACTAGAAAACTAGGTCTAAGCCACCACCAAATCAATATTATATATTCAAGTATGAAATCCTGTGTTAACTAGAAAACTATACCTAAACTACAACCAGTTCAACATAATATATTTAACTATGAAATACTGTGTTAACAACTAGAAAAGTAGACCTAAACTACCACCAGATCAACATTATATATTCAACTATGAAATCCTGTGTTAACAACTAGAAAACTATGTCTAAGCCACCACCAATTCAATATAATGTGTAGGTATGGACTGTTGCCAACTTAACAAAATACAACAATCCGAAATCAAATGATATCCAATGAATATCTTTATTTATTTGATTATACCTTCTGATTATAAAGTTAGCTAGACTTTAAAAAATTAATAGTTTTATATATTATCGATTCCTATTAAATTCCATCCAAACACATTTCCGAAAATAAATGCTAAGATCTGAGGTCATCAATTAGTGGAATTTTCGTATAGTTAATTAAATTTATGTACATTAATATCAAGGAAGTTTTTAAATGCTTATCCAGCTATAAAAGGGATTTCCGAAAATTTCATAATAAAACAGTATAAATCTAAATGAACTGCTTCAAATCGCAGCGATAAGAGTGCGAATTTTTTTATTATCTAATGATAAGGAAACCAAAACGCTTTTGTGAATAAAATTAACCAACGAAAGTGGTTGACATTATGGGAACTCATATCTGCGCAAAGAATTGGACATTATCAATTTTAAATCTCGTAAACGTTTTAAAAATTATATTTATACCCAATTACGTAGGTATACATACATGGAGGTATATATATTAAATTAGGTGCGATAATACCGGTTGCGTATCCGTACTTTGAATCAGAGTTTGTATTAGCGGTGGCTATAAAAGCTACTGGCACCATTTAATATTGAACAGTTCGCGACGATTCAACGCGTAACAGGTGTGAGTAACGGATTAACACGAATACGAAAATTAACGAATATGTCGCGTCATATCCTTTGGGGTTTGGCGCTAGCACTTTTAGTGCTAACTAATAGTTCGAGTGCGACGGAGTTAACGGATAACACAGCATTGGGCATTTCTCCTTTGAGAAGTGATTTAGCATTTCAATTTTACAATTTGGGTTCTCAATATCTAACTGGAGCACAGAAAATTATACCAAACGTCAGCGAAAAATGCTCAATCGACATAATAAGAATAGCAGAAGGCGTCAAAAAAATTGAAGAATGGGCTCTTGAATGTAAGCATGCAATTATGTAATTTAATATTATATAAGGATTAACAGGGATAAAAGAAAAATAAATAAACATAAAATCAAATTTAAAAAAATGTAATAATAAAATATTTTATTATTATTAAAAAACAAAATTTTAAAAATGTAATAATTAAATATAAGTTAATTTGAAATAATATAAAATACAAAAATAAAAAGAAAAGCAATATAAGTTAAAGAATATTTAACAATTTCTTTAACAATTTTATTATGTTGTTAATATTTTATTAACAATATTAAATAACAATTTGTGTAATCTCAAACTGGTCACTAAAGCCCTCAGCTAGAATTATATTAAAAAAAAAATAAAGTTACAAAAAAAACACAAAAATAACAAACTGTAATTAAAAACAAAAGATTACCAAATGAATATAAAAATAAATCTAAAAATAAATAAATATAAGTATATAATTAAAATAAGCAAAATAAAAAATTAAAATAAAAAATTAATTAATAAAATAATATAAACTAAAAAACAAGTGCAATAAGTTTGGAAAAATTAAGTTTAGTTATATTGAATTGAATTTAAAAGAAATAAGTGATATAAAATATAATTAATTAGGAAAAAAAATAAAAGAAAAATTATAAAAAATTTTAAATATTAAATAAATAATATATAAAATTAAAATAAATAATATAAAATACACGAAATAAATATGTTACAATTTTTTTGTAAATTAAATGAAATTATATCAAAAGCGTACGAAAATAATTTTTTTAATATTAATAATACCAATAATTCTTTTATAATTAATAAATAGTTTATTAAATTTTAAATTGTATTTATTTTTAAAGTTAAACATAAATTTAGTTTTATTTCGAAAACCAGAAATACTTATTTTTTAAAAGTATTATCACATAATTAAATAACAATTTAAGAGAATAACAATTCAAAAAAAAAATATTTTAGATGATTTTACACTAGATATATATAATTTTTTTGATTAAATGATTGATTAAATGTGGTGTGTTCACTAACAAGTGACCGTTTTGAAAGTAATTAATTGTTTACAAAATAGTAGGATTAAAATTTAAATATTAAATTTTAATTATGTTTATCTTTAAAACTAAATTTTAATTATTAAATTTAATTAAATTAAAATAAATAGTACATAAAAAAAGGACAGAGATACATTTCTCTATTATTTGTATTTACTAACATTTTTTTTTTAATATTAATGTTGAAAATGAATTTAGAGCAAAAATTTTTAATATGGTTTATGATATATTTTATAGTATATATTAAAAATATATTTTAATATTAGCAATTTCAACATTGAGGATATCTTCAGTTTAAAACAGATATTAAATTCAGTTCAATTGTAAACACAAATAAAAATGACAAAATCTTATAAAAATAGTATATAACTATATATTATACATATAACTTATGACTTTCGGTCATTATTTTGATTGATTATAGTCATTAAAAACAAATAAGAAGAAAAAACAAAGAATAAGTTCTTTTAGGAAATGATCTTTAATGTCAAAAAATTTGGACTTTTATATTTATTTTTTAATACAAATAATAAATTATTATTAGCAATATAATTATTAAATTATTCTGCATAATTTAAACTTTAAAGCATTTATTTTTAAAAAAAATAATATATTATTACATATTAATAAAATAATTATTAAATTATTCTCTATAGATTTTACTATTCCTGCATAATTTAAACTCAATCGAATTTTATCAGTTTAAATAAAGTTGTCCTATATTATATATATATATATATATATGTTATATATATATATATTATATATTATATATGTATTATATATTATTATATATGTATTATATTATATATAAATGTACAATTTTCTTTTTATAACCATAGTATAAACGACTATTCAATGCCATTATTATCATATCATAACGTTTTCATTCAGTTATTTTGCTGGCTTATAGGCTTATGAAGAACGATTATCAAAACAACTATAGCTAAATGTGCTAAAAACTGATTAAAAATATTTATACATATTCTTAATCACATTAATACCGTGTGACGTTTAACACGTTTTATTAATTTCTCAACTGAAAAACCCACTATAAATCAAAAAGTCCACAGTTGTAAATCTCTTAACAGTTATCAATATTGAAATTTGGAAAAAAATATATATTATGTATTATACCAAAATCGTCGGACTTTAAACATATTTAATTAAAAAAGTTTTTTTTAATTGATCTCAATACATACATTAATACTCTTTTTTGCTAGTCCCAACTTAAATCTTTATTTTTGTAAAATTTATGACTAACTGCGAAAGTTGACAGTCCTTGTCCTATATGAGTGGTTGACTTGATTGTGACTTAATTGTGATAAGTTCATATTTAAACAATAAATTAATCATAAATCTTTTAATTGTTGAGAGTAAACGTTATATTATTTTTATTGTAAATACATTAGTTATTGTTAACATAGAAAATATTTTTCACTAATCTAATCTTAATTATGAAGCATGAACATATTGAACATAAAATAGAAAAATAACAATATACACTTATATCCATTGATTATTAATTCATTACATTTTGTTTATTTTTTTCATAACAGTTCCTGACTCATGGGGTCGTGCGCCAATGGGTCTTATGTGGGGTCACACTTCCAGTTTTGGTCAATATGAGGAATGCATTGCTGCCACAAGAACATATTACTTATCAGACGATAAAGAAGAGACTGTTGATGGACAATACTGTTTAGCTAAGGTACCAATTCACAAGTTCATGGAGGATATGGTCAAACGTAATGAGACAACTGGTACAATGAAAATTTCTTACAAATACAGCTTACCCAAAATTTTTGAGTTGGGTGTATGCGTACCAAAAACTTGTACTGTAGATGACACAAATGAAATTCTTAAACAAGTCTTACGTGCTTATATTCCTGATAAATACGATATCAACGATAATACAAAAATGATTGAAGAAGGACGTTGCGACTATAAAAAACCAGTTGAACTACGAGGAATAGATATATTTGCAATGTAAGTTTATATATATTTAATCTAAGAAGAACTTCAAAATAATCACATATTATCACATATTTTATTTAGCTGTTTCTTTGCAATCATTATATTTATAATGTTAGTCAGCAGCATCTACGATTATGTACAGACAGAGAAAAAACGTAAGTAATACATGTTCTTAATTTCAATTTAAAAGTTTTAAAATTGTTAAATCTTTATTTTTCTCTAGAACCAAAGAAACCTCTATTTATTGCATTCTCTGTACTAACTAATGCGCCAAAGATTTTCACTGTTAAAAGAGTAAATAATCCAAACGTTATACACTGTCTGAATGGCTTGCGCGTATTCTCAATGATGTGGGTTGTGTTTGGTCACGGTTATATGACATTCATGGAACTCCCTCATATAAATAAAGACAAAATCTACACGGTAAATTATATTAAATTTTATTAAATTGTAAATTGTAATAATTGCATGTTTCATTGCTGTACTCTTTTGTAGTGGTATGAAACTCCCTATTCAATGTTGGTTCAAAATGCCACTCTTTGCGTGGACACATTCTTCTTTATGTCCGGTTTGCTTATGTTATGGGGTGCCTTCCGTGAAATGGAGAGAACGTAAGTTATACTTTTGAAAAATTTATATTATCTACAAGATTATAATCACTTTAAATATATAGTAAGGGAAAATTGGACATAAAAATGATGTACTTCCATCGTTATATACGTTTAACTCCAGTGTTGGCCGTAGTTATACTTTACATCATGTCTTTATACAAATACTCTGGCGCTGGTCCAATGTGGATGAAAATAGGTACACAAGACAAGCGTTGCGAAGATTCCTGGTGGGCTTCACTACTTTACGTACAGAACTATGCATATCCATACCATATTGTAAGTTACACCACGAAAGGTTGCATTTGATTAATATTCTAATTCAAACATTTATTTTCAGTGCGTAAGTCAATCTTGGTATCTTGCTGTTGACACACAGTTGTATGTGCTATCACCTCTCTTCCTTATTCCACTGTGGAAATGGGGTAAAAAAGCTGTAATACCAATCGGAATATTCTGGGTACTCTGTATGGGTTGCACATTTGCTACCTTTATGGTAAATGACTTTACACTCTTCCGAATTAGAGACGATCATGTCGACATGCGACAAGCTAAGACCTACTATCCAACACATACACGTATACCTACATGGCTTATTGGTATGCTCTTTGGGTATTTCTTATATACCAAAAATCGTGGCAAACAAATACCATTAGGCAAGGGTTGGGTATTATTCGGCTGGATCAGTTCATTTATAATTATGCTGGCTTGCTTATGGGGTCCATATTGGCGTATTTTGCCCAGCACACCAGAATCACCAATTATTGAAGGCGCTTTTTATGAACCCTTCAGTCGCACTGCTTGGGCACTTTGCATTGGTTGGATTGTTTGGGCTTGCTACAATGGTCATGGCGGCATTATTAATGATTTCTTATCTTGGGGATTCTTCACAGGCTTCAGTCGTTTGTGTTATTGCATGTATGTCATACACAGAATTGTACAATTAGTAAATGGTGGACGCATTCAACACGACACCCATTTCGGTGATTATGACATGGTAAGTTAAATTTGTTGATGAAATTCAATCAATTTAATTATATTAATAATTAAAATTAAAATTTCTTAATTAAGATATTACAATGAAATGTAAAACTTACTTTACTTTCTGTATTTAGATCTTGAGATGGTGGCATGATTTTGGTATTGCACTAACAGCATCAATATTTGCTACCCTCGCATTCGAAGCTCCAATCCTTGGCATTGAGAAGGCAATTTTTGGACGCGGAGATGTTAAACCAGCACCTAAGAAAATTGAGCCAACCAGCGCAGCTCCTGCAGTCGAAACTCCAGTTACAACTGCCGCGGTGATAGAAACCCCTGTACCAGAGGGACCTGCAAAGGTTTAAACATCTTACTCAATGCAACTCGACTATGATGACTAATTTAAGAAAATAAGTGTATTCATTAAACTTAAGATATTCATTGTTGTAAAAGTGATACATACAATTATTAAGTTAAGATAAAAAAATAAATTTTACGTAGTAAATAAAAAATCCTTATATCATTATTTTAATTATAATATAAAGAAAATGTCCACGTAGTTTCTCTGTGAAAGTAGCAATATATTTTAATACAGCAATTAAAGATAACATACATTATAATGTATATGTGTTCATATTTAAGTTAAAGTTTAGAAAAAGGAAATTTCATTTACATGTGAATTCTTTAATTGAAAAAAATTAATAAATTAGTATGCCTGCTGTTGCATATCGATATTCACAATATTTTTTTTTTTTACATTAACTTGTCTAAATAACTTGTCTGTACTATATTAAAACAATATTTTTATTAATGTGCATCTTAATTATAAGGTATTTCAACTAAGATATGTTCAACTGAAAAAAATTGGCTGTGCCAAAATTCTTTATCACTTCCAACCGCTATTCATAAATGATAATTCGACCGTCACTTCTATATGGGTGTGCAGCGTTCAGCAAGTCCTTAAACACTACTATTTGCCAGCTAGAAATTGCACAAAGTCAGACTCTGAGAAGACTATTAAAGGTACAATGGTACATTAGGACGAATGATATCCTCAGGGATCTCAAGACTAATCCGATCAAAAAATATATAAAGGATAGAGCCCTGAAATTTTTTACGATAACTGACAGGCTTACCAACACCGCGTCATCGAATAGCAGAATGGTTACAGGCTCATCAGGGAGGTATGCAGATTTGAGGTCAGTTATTGCTTAGTCTGATAAAGTGATAAATAACAATCCAGTCAAGGCGCAAAGAGGGGTTTTGAAGAAACCTCGCAGTTAATATAGAGTAAAAGTGCTCAGGTGCGCTGACTCAACTTGTCTCTCTCAACATAATAATTACACTTACTATGTAGAATTTTCCTAAATGGGGTGTACGTGATTCTTTGCTTCAACTAACGAAAAAATAATATAGGACAGTATCGGCAATATATTTCAGGTGCGGAAAAGGCGAATCAGTTAGTTAAGATAGAAGCCGCATTAGAAGATTCTGCCTAAACATTCCAATTTATTTGCAATACAAATACAAGATGGGCGCTTGTATAGGTAAACAAATAGGTATAACTGCAAACATAAAATTATAAGGCACGTCACAAGCAGGTTGTACAACGTAAACACTTACAAGCTACTTATTATCACTATCAAAAACAGACTATAGGTGCTAACAAGGTATCTTACAGTGCATGATCTGCTAACGTTATATGCCCTAAAAACAGGATTAGCGACGGCGGTACTTTCAGAAAATGTGGAATAGCAAACTCAAGGAAACGGTAGAGCATATTTTCTGCCAGTGTTCAACATTCTGGCAAATAATTTGCCATTTATGGCTCACAGGACTAGATGGTGCAATTGAAAAAAGTTACCAAAATATTGTAATATATTTAACATTGTGTTTAATATTTGAGTGTATTGAAAGTGATTTTGCTCTACATAAAAGGTTCAAAATGGAAAGATTAGTGCTTATTAAAAGCATATTCAAATGTCACAAGTAATCATATTAAAATTTTGCTCATTTTGTTGCAGAATCAACTTGAAATCATATCCGATTTCGTCTACCTAAATTACTATATAATTGTATGAGTGACATAATATTAAAAATATGTCATTATCAAAATAAAGTGTACAATACATTTCCAACATTTGTTTGCTTTAAACCAATAGTTGAAATAGTTGTTTCGACAAATATTTTAGTTTTTTATAAAACGTTTTTCAAATCTCTTTAAACTTAAAAAAAAATTTTTAATTCTTGCACAACAAAAAAAAGGCAATACTTTAGATTTATTGCGTCAAAATAAAGTGTACAGGAATAAATTTAATAAATGAAAAGTTAAAAAATCCATACTTTAATATTTTGTTAGTTTGATTCAGTTTATTTTGCTGTCATAACCCTTCATAATATGGAAAGGAATATATAGAAAGGAAATCAGGACTATCAAGAAAAATCTTAGTGTCTACAGTAATGCACGATGGGGTTCAATGACGGTCTGGAAGTATATAGCGACAAGTGGAGTAGATAGATTAGTGTTAATTGACAATACAATGAACAAAATATATTTTAAAATTAAATTTGTCAGCTATTGTCGAAAAATTGGAATCAATTTCAAATTATGAAAATAATTCTTAAATAAATCTTATATATATATACTTACTATATTTACGTATAATTTTGCCAATATTGGCTAATTTAAGTTTAGAAATTAATTTGTTAACATGGAAGAATTAATATAGAAAATACAATCAGCACAAGAATTATGTTATGTTTAATTTTTTTTTTATTTTCACCTTAAACCTAATACTAACTTCCAATTCGCACAAAAAATTGTCATAAAAACCCTATTGAAAAGTTTTAACAAAATCAAAATTTGTATGGAACATTTTGTTTATTAAAAGTTTTTTGTCAATTTTTTGAGTGATATGAATGTTAATAATAGGCTAAAATGCTAAAAATCATTGTGTTATGTTTTAAGCAAAAATATTAAGAAAATAAGAGCTTATTATACATTTGATGAAATAATTATTAGTTCTAAATATATTTGTCTCTATTGTATTTGTTTTTAGTTAACCTAAATTGATGAACATATAAAATAATATTATGCAGTGTAAATAATTTTTATAGTATGGTAATACTAACAGCAATATTGAATGACAACTACTGTCAAAGTCCGCTGACAGCTGTCACTTAATTTTTCTTTTCTTTCCGGTGACTGCTTCGTAGAAGACGCTAAAGTATGTAAAATTTCTTTAAATATCGTTAAATATCTAGTGCATCTAAATAAGTTATAGTGAGATTATATTGAAACGTAAAATCTTTGAAAAAACGTTTTTAAATAATGATTAGTTCAATAGTTTTCAGTTAGTGTTTATGTTAAAATTTTATGAAAAATTTTTCTAACCCAATGGCTATGTCATTTGACTAATCGTTATTATTTTTTTTTGTAGATGTTTATGCCAAAAGCTCATCGTGTTGCTATTTACGAATACCTCTTCAAAGAGGGTGTTATTGTGGCTAAAAAAGATTTCCATGCACCCAAACATCCTGAACTTGAGAGCATACCCAATTTACATGTAATCAAAACAATGCAGTCCCTTCACTCTCGCGGTCTTGTTAAGGAGCAGTTTGCATGGAGACATTACTATTGGTACTTGACAAATGAAGGTATTGAATACTTGCGCAGTTACTTGCATTTGCCCCCAGAAATTGTGCCAGCAACACTGAAACGCCCGGCTAGGTCAGAGACAGTACGTCCACGACCAACAGCCACTGCCCGTGGTACCGGTGATTCTTCAAAGACAGGTGAAGATCGCTCTGCATACAGACGTGCACCAGGTGGTCCCGATAAGAAGAGTGACGTTGGACCAGGTGCTGGTGATGTTGAATTCCGAGGTGGATTTGGTCGCGGCTCACGTCCTCAATAGATATAAAAATGTTAAAATGAACCACATTGAAAAGAGAATCCTATCACTGGATTTAATTTTATAATAAAAAAAACTGAAAATAAGCAAACTGTGAATTTAATTATAAACTATAATAGTGACTTGCAATCTTTATATGGCTTTCTGTGGATGTTACTTAATGTAACAAGTGTAAAGTTTGTTAAATTGTGCTGGGAACATATCATCCCTCTTTCTAAAATTTGATGGAATAAGTAGTGTGGGTGGTTTGATGTTGTCACTTTGCGATAGTTGATTATAAATTTTAAAAATTACCTTTAAAAGCACTTTATATTAAAACATTACACACATACGAATTAAATGTTTTATTTGGAAATTCTATTTTTTGAGTCATTCAGTTTGGATAAAGGATGTACTTATGGGAATATGTGTATCAGAAATTTTTTAAATCATTGACAGATAAATCTAGTAAGGAATTTAGTGTTGTTGAAGCATGTAGGGGGAGGTATGTGTGTATATCTGTAGCACGTACATTAAGATTTTCTCTTAAATGTTTTTATCTTTCAGAGAAAAATTAATTACCTCTTACGTGTTTTTGCAAATGCTCTTTTACTTATTTCGTAGTGTATAGAAAACGGTCATAAAGGAATGTCAAAATGTTTGCCCTTTATTAAAAGAGTTCTGAGGAAATAGATAAAAGTATAACAGAATCGTTTATTTGTAATGTTTTTAGCACGTTGAATGTTTGGAGACGTAATTAACATAAATACCTAAAGAAAAGCGTTTATTTTAAATATGGGACAAACAGAAAGTATACCTGAAACACTGCATATGCAATTGGTACGCCATGCCAAGGTTCTTGCAGAAATCAATTCATTGACATATGAAGACTTTAAAGCTTGTTTGGATAATTTAAATGCACTGTAATAAGCAAATGTGTTAAAAAGTTGTAAAATCATTTTATATATATCTTTTATTACATCCAAGGTCACGCAAGTGCATTGATCAAAGTGGCAAACAGTTGGTTTTTCTGGTAAAGAATGGCACAGACACTTCAATGATTTGGAAAGCAACTGTGAAAATTGCTTGCATAAAAGTGGATCCAAATACTCGTCAAATTGAATGCTATAAATTTCTCAATTTGAAGCAATTCTTGTGTGTATTTAAAACATTTCAAAGCCATCTAGAGAGTTTAGTTTCTAGTGAAAATCATAGAGTAAATAACAATCTAACAACTTTTAAATATATATAACTATCAAAGTTTTTCTAGAGCTCACGACGGGGTTCACAGTCCCCTTTAAATGAATCACCCACAATTGCAACAAGTTTTAACCTTTCTGCATCTGTTTTTATGGATTTAGTAGACAAAAATATTGATGGAAGTACAAATTCTTTAAATAGCCCCACCTCTTCTAGTACTCATGAAAATATTGACGAATGCTCAATATGTTTGGACAGGCAAACTGAAGTGCTACTGCCATGTACGCATACGTTTTGCACACCATGCATAGAACAATGGTAATTAAATAAATAAAATAATATTCACATGTCATATTTATTTCATATCGACAGGAATGTTAAGAATAAAACTTGCCCTATATGCTTAGAAGCTCTCGATAGCACAGATGACACATGGGTTATATCTGATATACCTGGAGTAGAAGAAATAAATGAAGAAATTTGTGCGGAATTTATGAATCTTGCCAAAAATAACTAAGATAAAACAATTTTCCTTAATTTATGACCATATGCAACATTCGAATACAAATTCATTTTATAATATTTATATATTGTGTGTATTTTTAAAATTTAGCTATTTTATGTATTTTAGTTAAACCCTATAAATAAAAGTTTCGCTATTCACATTGCACTTTGTTTTTTGCAATGAGTTTATAAAATAAACAAGTATTTCAGTTGAAAGTGTTTTAAATAGATTAGTAAAAGTATATCTGTAAAGGATTTGGTATAATCCTTTATCACAATTTACAAACCACAGGTTATTATTATTAATATTATTCTTATATTATTATTATTATTATTGCATAAGGTTTATTTAAGTTCTTCTCAAACTTTTGTTGATATAATTTATTAAAATTAAAGTTTAAACTTTAATTAATTACAGAAATAAATATCTATGTAACAGCCTCATCGTAATTCTTTCTGTCTCCGATTATGAAAGGTTTTTAAATATATAGAACTTTAATTAATTACAGAAAGAGATATCTATATAATGGCCTCACAGTAGTTATGTCTTCCATTCTGAAAACTTTTCAAATACACACAACTTTATATTGTATGTGTAATCGTTTTTAAAATGTAACAAATTATAGTTTTGCATGAATATGTCTTTTTTGGTTACTTAAGTACTGATAAATATCTAAAAATTATGCGTATATATGGTAAACTGTTATTTAACATGATAAAGTGCTCCCTAACATATTTACACAAAATTTGCAATATGAGACATTTACATGCTTACTGCAGCAATAGGAAAATTCACAAAAAATTCTTAAATTTAAAAAATATTTAGTGACCACATAATAAGAAATGAATTACGAATAAGTATTGTATAATTTAAATCAGAAGTAAAATGATCATTTGAACATATAAACAAATTTATTTTTATTTCCCTTCCGGTTAAAAAAATACATGTTGGCATTACTGTTCTTTCGCCGGCAAAGGGTTACAAATAATAAAAAATGCATTAAAGAGAAACGTCAAATTATGTTTTCTTAACAACATTCAATAGTAAGATAATAAATTTTTTATGTTTACAACTTTCTGTTACACTTTCAGACAAAATAATTGTAATATATTTTATAAATTTGGGAATACATTGAAACAGAATATGTCACTAGAAGGTTGGTAACTTATTTTGGAACACTTAATCAAAATACTTGAACTTTAATTTTTCACAAAGCATCTACAAGTCAATGTTGGCGAGGCAATACAATGGAAGAAATTTACCGGCATTTGGATGAGTTTAAGTTGGAACACATAGCAGAGGTAAGACCGTCGAATGAACACACTGTGTTGCATCATTATCCAATACGTGCTGCACTAAATGAAACTCCTCGTCCATTATCCGCACACCATAAATGGGATGCTCTACACGTACGACTTCCGTGTTCAATAAAAAGTCAATATCCCGTTGTTACTGCTGATGGAAGTTGCAACATTGAATCTCGTTGGGAAATGATACAACAGGCTTTCTTGCGTCCAATAAGTAATAGTCAAGAACTGCAGGTAGAGTAGTGTGTTTCTTGAATATAATACAAATATTATGATGTCTATTGAATATAGGAAGCCATACTATCTTATAATACACGATATGAGAATCAATGGAATTTTCATTCGTTACACAAACTTTTTGAGGAGAATCTAGATGAAAGCGAATCGTGTGTATTTTTCGAGGACTTATTGCCGCGTATAATACGCTTAGCTTTGCGTTTACCAGAACTAGTGCAAGCCCCAATTCCACTCTTGAAACAAGGACAAACACACTCTTTAACCCTAACGCAAGAACAAATCTCATGTTTGTTAGCAAATGCATTTCTTTGTACCTTTCCACGTAGAAATACACATAAACGTAAATCGGAATATGCCACTTTTCCTGACATTAATTTTAATAGGTTGATATGCTATACTCTGTTATCCGTTATAATAAGTTATTTAACTTCATATTTTTTTCTAGGATATTTCAATCTAAGGGTCAACAAGTTTTGGAAAAGATTAAAGCCATTTGTCATTATTTTAGACGTGTTTGTCCCACAGAACGTGATAATAGTAATGTGCCAACTGGTGTATGTACATTTTCTCGTCGCAGCATACTTGAAAGCAATTTACCTAAATGGTCTGTAAATGAAGCTTCATTAGCCGATACACTTTTTCATATTACATCCGAGGGAACTATAGAAGATCAAGGAATTGGTTTATTACAAGTAGACTTTGCAAATAAATATTTAGGTGGAGGAGTATTAGGAAGTGGATGTGTTCAAGAAGAAATACGTTTCGTAGTTTGTCCCGAATTAATGATATCAATGCTGTTTACTGAATGCTTAAAACCGACAGAAGCATTGGTAATGGTGGGTTGTGAGCGATATAGTAGTTATAATGGTTATGCAAGTACCTTTGAATGGGCTGGTAATTATGAAGACCTTACACCAAGAGATTCTTCTCGACGACGAAAAACCCATATTGTAGCTATAGATGCATTATCATTTATCCAATCAGAAGACCAGTATAAAGAAGAATTAATAATTCGTGAACTTAATAAGGCATATGCCGGATTTTATCATACTTTAGAAACACCAGCTCCAGGTGTAGCAACAGGGAATTGGGGGTGTGGTGCATTTGGTGGCGAAGCTAGACTTAAAGCACTTCTACAGTTAATTGTATGCGTAATAACCAAACGGCCTTTGGTTTATTTTACCTTTAGAGACGCCGAGTTACGCGATGAAGTGTACAACATGCGTACATTTTTAATCGAAAAAAACGTACGTGTTAAAGACTTATTGAATACACTTAAAAAATTTCAGGCACAACGCTTGGAATCTAAAAATTTATACAATTTCATATATAACTACTACCGGCAAATACCAAAGGTATGAAGTAAATTGTGCAATTTAAAAATAACTTTAATATGACTTATTTTAGAATAGATTGCCGCTGATGAAGATGTTATCGAATAGTAAAAATATTGTTACGTCATGTTTTTCAAAAAGTTATGCCGAATCAGTCGGTTATAGTTTCACACAAATTGCTGTAGAAACAACTACTTTAAAAAAAGTTGGTAGCCCAGATTTATTTTCATCATCAGACGAAACGGAAGATGATAGGAGAACAAATACAAAGTATAAAAAATCCTCAAACACAGCAGCCACAAAGGAAAAAACAAATACGAAAAATTTATCAGATATGCTAAATGATAGTGAATCAGATGAAATAATAATGGAAGCTGTGAATAGCTTGCCTAATAATATTTCTAAAGAACAAGCTTTGAACACAAATTCTCCAAATAAAAAATGTAAAGGATCACGTCAACTTACTTTACTTGAGATGCTTGATAAATGCTACACGGTTAAAAATAGTTCTGGCTCACCAGATTCAAAGCGACACTGCAATAGAGAGTCACCATCTTAGATGCAATATATATATATATGATTAAAATTATTATTTTGATGATTTGATTTAAAAAAAGATAAATAAATATTTTTTATTTTTTTAAATAAAAAAAGTTATGAGATATTTAAAGAATAAAGAGTAGTTGGCTTTAGGATCATACAATTTTATAAAAGCTTTGTATGAAGCCTATAGTTTCGTTATACATCCAGTGTTCATTTAAGTTTTATGAAATTAAATATTTGAGCTGTTAAAAAAATAATAATTTGTTATTTTTGACTACTTGTTACTTATTTAGAAATATATAGAATATATGCTGGCTTGCATTAAAAAAATAAATTATTATTTACTTATATATCAATTTTAACAAACTTTTTATTAACAACAAATTGAAGTGTTTGCTTTTCTAATTGAAAATATTTACTTTAAAATATTATTCGAGTAAACAATGTTATTGATATTTTGTACACATAAATAATTTTCAAATGAGTAGTTATTTATGAACCCTGAATGCCAATTTTATTACTTGCCAAATTTATTAAGATAAGAAGTTTAAAAATAAACTTCATGTGATGAAATTGGAAATGGAGTGATGAAAACTCATATTATAATTACCAATGGATGAATGGGATTCACTGAAACAATATTTATTTTACTATTTGATTTATTAAATTTTATTGTAATCAAAACAGATATACGATTTGAAGAGAAAAATAAATTCACGTTTTGATTAGATTTGCACACATAATATGAAATTTTTATATACCACCATTTTTTTATATTAAATTTGATAACAGAGATAATAACATATGTACGTATGTATATAAAAAAATCTGTTCTTTATATGCAAAAAAAACCTATTTTTTGAATTCATTCTGCTTTAAATTTCATGGTTAATTTATTTTATTGACATACACACTTTTAACGAGTATACCAAAATAAGAAAATACTCATTGTTGTTGTTTGTTAAATTTGGGGGCACGTTTACGAAGCCACGTAATAACATTTATCGGCCAAAGAACAAAAAAAACTGTTTAAATATCTACTGATAATTTGCTAAAATATTTGTATTAACTGATGTACTCATATACGTACTAGTACCTGGTATATATATATCATCAGTTTTGTTTACCTTTATAAATTAAAAAATATTTAAATATATACTTATGTTTAATTTTATACAATTCGGAATTTTATTTTATTCTTTAATAACGATTTAAAAAAAATTTGTGTACATTATTAATAATAAAGATTAGCAATATTAAATTCAATGCATGATCATATTTTCTTAATTCTTTTTTATTTATAGAATGAATTTTAACTTTTGTTCTTTATATTTGCTAATATTAGTTTGCTTGATAATAATTTTAAAATAGAAAACTCTAGAATATCTTTTGAAAATATGCTATTTTTTTATTAATATTGACTAATACCCGTCCCTAATTTGTTCTTTATGAAGCCATAGTGCATTACTTCAAGCTTTATTTGCAAAATATATATGCGTAGACTTACCGCTAAACGCATTTTGTTTGTGCAGTCGTAAATCATTTTATAGTGCTTTGTAATGAGTTCAAACACAGTGGTGGCTATAAAAAAGTTGAATACTAAAAAAAAGAACTACAAAAAATTGGCACTTACTGTTTGGTTTAAACAAAATTACTTTACAGTTTCAGTAGACAAAACCGCTGAAATTAAAATTAATATAAAATTTAGGATTTTACTATATGCACACTAAAATAATTATTTATGTTTAAACAATGTAATTATAAGTTACATTGATAAGTCAGATTAATTATGTAGTTTTGTGCTACATATAGACATATTGTCCCTTGCGATACCAGAAGCAGTTAAACACCTATGCAAATATTTTTGTAGTAGGCATTTTTGGAAATTTTAGAAAAAAACTTGAAAGTCTATTTTTTACACAACTTCAAAAAAAGTTGTTAGCTCAAATTTATGTTTTTGATTAGACGACACAGCAAAGGATTCTTTATTCCTTAGACAGAGCCACTAAGATGTTTATTTAACGATCTTTTAAAACTGGTTTTTGGGCTAGACCTTGTTGAGATTCTAACCTATACCCTGCGTACAGTAGTTTTAGTACACAAGTACCATGTTTTTACATTTAGTCAACTTAAGGGAGTCAACGTAATCTAGATGTTAGACAATGCAATGAAATAGTTTAAATGAGTACTTAGGACGTGTGCGAGTTAGGCTAAGTTGATGCTAAACCAAATGGGAAATTTTTTGGGATTTTTTGCACTGCACAGATTTAGAAATTTATCAACACGTATCGACACATCACTACATTACCGGCACAACTTAGAATTTCCCTCATTTAGAACGCAACTTAGCCTAACTCGCACACGACCTTAAGAATAAAAACGTCAGCGTTATAAACGTCTGATTAAGTTGTTGCTGTTTTATTGTTGTTATTGTAATTCGTGATAACCTGCTAGTATTGGCTTTAATCGTCTTTGTAGTTTAGTGACTCTTCAAATGTTTATTTCATGTATCTCATAAAATAGTGACATTAAGTTTTATCAACTAAAAATTTAAAAATTTTTTCAAAATAATTTATTAATTATTGAAAAAAATAATGAATAATTAAATAATTAAGAATAATTAATAACCAAAGCAATCGTTTTTGCCAACACTGTTATCAATGCGGTGCGGTTAAGCTAAGTATGCACTGTTTGCCATTCCATTTATCATTTAATGAATTTATCTATTTTTATTTCTACCCATGTAAGCCAAATATCTACGAATATGCAAAACCATAGAATATTAATATTTTAATAAAAAAAAGTTAAAACTTGATTGTCTGACAACTGTTTTAAAATTATCTTAGAAAAAATTATTGAAAGAATATGTCTGAGAATTTGGGTTTGCAAAGGGATGTACTTCAGTTTTATGATACAAAGCATCATATTTTTTGTTCAATTGAGAAACAAAGGATAAACACTTTTTGAATACAACAAAAATGTAATTCGTATCAATTTATGAAGTAATTAATAAATTTCATTGAAACTAAATAAAAAACAAAGGATATAGTTTTTTTATACGAAGTAATAAAAATGATTGTTTTTGTACGAAAAAAGAATACTTGAATAAAGGCGAAAATAATGAGAACCATTAAAAGTTCATAGCCTCTTTTGTTTGATGTAAACTTTTTTAATGCTGAAATGTAAGCTGAAATACACGAGATTGCGATTTAATGTTGACAAAAATAAATTCACTGAACAAAGAAAACAAAAACTGAAATGCAAGCGTAATTTATGTTTAATTGATAAACAATTCTTTATTAATTTTTATTATAAATGCTACTTTATTTTCATATTAATATAAATGCTTATTCATATATTATTTAGTATAAAAAGTACAAAAACGTATTAAGTTACACAATATTGATACAAATTCAATATAATAATATTCTATTTTCATTAATCATATCGATGATTAACAATTTGCCACAAAATCCTTCACTTTCAAATTATCTTAACATATTGTACATAAATATAATGAAAACACACTTAATATTATAAATGAGACATAAAGTTGTTAAGTACAATTATTATTAATCTTCACTGTTTACAATTAGAAGTATTATTAAATATTAAAACAGTATTTTTTCTTAGAGACGCTTTGAATTGAAATCTAAAAACACTTAATTTGTTCATTAGTTTCGTTGTAGATAACGTTTCATTTAAGGCAAACAACTTTATGTCGGCGTGAGGAAAAAATAAAGAAACTCGTTTATAAATACTTATTAGTAAACCTACTTCTAGATGTGCGAAAAGCAATAAAAAAATCTATATTTATTTGCTTAGAAATAGAAAATGTTGATAATGCGTTTAATTATGATTTCTGCTAATGCATGTTTGGCGTATAAAACACTTTCCACATTATTAGGCCTTATCTTTTTTGGCATTACATACACTGCAATACATATATGAATCTGGTGACGGCGGTGGTGACAAGGAACCGGGGCTCTGTGGACAATTTCCCATTTTAACCGCTGGAGTTATGGGAAAGTGTTGCCAATGTGGACACGGCATTTGTCTAGGAGGATGTATTGGGAATGGCATCTTGTTGTCTTCTTTATATTATTTTTAAAAAACAGCTCTCAATAAGTACAGAAAAGTAACTTAATTTAACAGCTTCTATCTGTATTCACGACACAACACAGTCCAGTTTTACTTCAACTTCTTCGCAGCAACGCGCCAAGTGAACTGAATCGAGTTGGCAGCTCGTGTCTGCATAAATAATGTATTTTGCGTTTTTTATTTTGATAATTTTTATATAGTATATAATTCTTTCATAGTAAACAAATTTCTGAAGGAGTGTTTGTTTTCAAGTTCGCTATAATTTTTTAACTGGCAATATCAGTTTTTCACATATTTGTTTGTTCGTGCACATGCGTATGCATATATTGTCATTATATATTAGCACGCTGTCATTTCTTTCAATTAATTTTTCAACAAAAATGTGACATCTGTTATTTTACATAAATTTCAATAAACATATAATAAGTGATTCTTAGTTATATATGCGACTATGTAGCTCATTTGTCGCTGCAAATTGCCTATTTTGTACTCTTACTTTTTATTTATGTGTTTGGCTTCCTTGTTTCTAGATTGTACGACAGCCATTACAGAAACTTCTTTTTCTTTGTTGTTGTTTTCTTTTGCGTTTTTGTTTTCGTCGTTGTGTTCTTTGTTTGTTGGACCTTGTTTTGCCGGTTATAATGTTATGTGGATGATGTTCATGCAAAGGGGAACAGTTTTTCTAATTTATAAAATGGTTAAAAATATTAGATCACATATGTATGTGCTTATTAAATTTCGTTTTCTTTTTTTCTGTAGTTATGAATATAAAAATTTATTTTTTTAGTACCACAATGCAATGGTGACAACATGTAAATTACAACAAACCCATATTTAATTTCTTTTCAAAGTTGAATTACAAATAAAGTGTTATTATTAGGCTTTAACTCATAAATTTACTTTTGATTAAAGTATATTTTAAATAAATTTAATAAAAAATATGAGATAAGAATTTAAAGAACACAAAGAACACATTTTCATATAAATATTGAAAAATCTTATAGTCACATGAAATTCGCGTGATTATACAAAAAATATACACATATGTACGTACATATAATAATTTTTTTATTAACATTGTGTATATAAAACAATTAAACATACTTACCAATACTTAAGGATTTTTTTGTACTATAGATAAGAAAGAATTAAATAATTTTATATAATAAAAATAAATATTACATTTTTGTTATAAAAATATGTATATAAATATTAAAAGTAAAAGTACTGCATAGATGCACCCCTCGTATGGCTGCTCAAAATAAGATAACAGAATGTAATAGAAAATATATTAAAAAATATAAATATACCTGAGGAACAACACAAATTCTATAGAAGGCAATTATCTAACTATAATGGTAATGTATAATGGTGAATTATCGGAGCCTTGAAAATAACGATTAAAAAGGGCAAGATATACATATGTATGTATTTCAGGGACATATTTCAAGACCAAACACATTTAATCACATAAACTTCGCGTCGAGTCTAGCCAACTTATAAATTATTATAATAAAGATAAAACAGAGTACAAAAATTCCTTTTTATTTTAATTATTGCCAGTATATACAATGGCAGTATATACAAGTATTCCTAAAGTAAATGTAGAAATCACATTTATTTAATAATATTTTTATTTACCAAAACGCTATAATGCACAATAAATGCTACATAAATACTCCAATGATTAAGGATATATGCATATTTATTTTATTTACAATAGCGCTTCGTATGATATAATAAAGGAGATAACTAAAATTTTGTAATTTTATGCATTAAATTTAAATATATTTATATATACGTATATATTCATGGATTATCAAAAGTTGTGTTTTGTTGTTTAAAATTGTTATTATAACATTATTTTACCTTACAATTAGTTCGATATTATCTACATATATTATACATATATATACATATGTATAACGCCTTAGAAGTCTTACGTCTTACTATTCCATTATTGCGGGTTTGAAAAATTAAAATTATTATATCTACTTCTTATTTTTCTTCTGAAGACATTTTCTATGAAACTAATTTACGTACAACGTGATAATCATATGCATATTCCTAGTATTTCAGGGAAATACATTTCATATATTGCTTTATCTTACATTAATCTTACTTCTATTACATGGTCATCGATATAAGTTTTGAACACAAAACTCAACCAGAAATGTATTCAGGAAATTTGTACGTCCTATCTTGACTGTATGCTAAAGCAACTAAGTTTTTATAAATAATTTTAATATATTAGAGAAAAAAATTGTATATGTACTTGGAACTAATTTAACCGATACTTGTCCTTGTACTCTGCGTCTAATTAAAATACAGTCATTTCACATAGACGCAATTTTACAATAAATGCGAAACCCCACGTTTAATCCAAATTACTTTTTGAAGTAACTCTTCAAAAGAAATTCTTCAGTTAGAAATTAGTAGAAAGTATAGTCGTTTCCCTATGATTGTATTGCAATGATAGCAGGCTGCTAATGCTATTGTCACTCGTATTATTGTAAAAATCTACTCTATTTATTTTATCTGCTTATGTTGGAACTCCAATAAGTGTGGTGTTTGGCATTAGAGTGTCGAAGGAGCAAGTTATCTGGACGTAAATCCATTGGATTCAGAAGCTACACTTCTAATAAAAGAGACCCAGTATATAAGTAAAACACCTTACTGCCAACTAAGGAAGTCAACCTCTTTTTGTAATAAAAGCTCCTATAAAAGCTTGTACAGCAATTGCGATTTTGAGATTTAGGTAAGTAGGGCATTCTGTTGACAAATAAATATTTGTCAATATTTCTCATGTAATCTTGAGTTGGTCGGTGATAAAATGTATGAGAACTTCATAATATTTTCTCGTATTGAAAGTAATTACTTCGAAATATATTTTTTGTTAATAATGTATAATCACTGTATAACAATTAAAAGCTCTTTTTATTTTATACTATTACAATCTTTTATTTTTAATTTATTAAAATGTGAGAAATTTAATTTAATATATAAACAAAACTACTTTTTATACATACAATATTTAATGTATATTTATGTATTAATAAATATTTGTTATTTACTTACACTATCAACTATATATTTTAATGTAATTAAAATAATTTATTAATAATAATATATATAAATAATGCAAAACGACATTCAATTATACTAAAAATTATTTATATAGATTTTGTATAAATTTCTGTTGTTGGTTGTATTTGTGTCAGTTTGTGTATGCTATTCTCAGCTCACATATTTGATTCACAATATTAATAACTAATATTAATTTATGTTATTATATAAAAACAAATATCTTTTTGTCTTCCTTATTAAAATATTCTTTTATCCATTAATTTAAAAACAAACGGATTTCGTATCACGCAAGACAAATTCAACTACATTTTTAACTTATAATAAACATTTTATATTAAGTAAAATATTAGACTAAATTAAATATTATAATATTTAATAAGCAGTTATACCAAATAATTTTATATTAAAAATATTTGCATATTCAAATATTCAATGCATAAGTAAACTTACGTTAATATTTTTATATTCACATAAATTGCAATTGTTATGAGAAATTATTTTGAGATTTCATATTTGTTTTAACAAACTTCTTTCGTAAAAAGAAAAAAGTTTACAAATTTATTTAAATCTTATTTTGCTAACTTAGCGATTAAATTTTTTTCAAATATTTCTATATAAATATTTTTTATATGTGTTTGTTATAAAGTAAATTATGTTACATATAAAGTATACTTAATATTTTTATATGTGGACTTTTATAAATTTAGACGAAATGTATTACTTCTCTTCAGTTCAAAATAAAAATATCCATTTAAAAATTAACTAAAGTTAAATAGAATTTGATTTATAATATCATTGGTAAACTATACTATATAGTATTTAAAATAATATAATAAAAGGAAGAAACAAGCACTTAACTACATACCAAGTCTTTCCTATGCAAAGTTCATATGTACATATATTTATATTATCTATATAATATAGAAGAAATTTAAAAAAACCTAGGAAACGGCATTTTTACATAGCATAGTATGTAATGTTTACGTTTGGAAATTCAGATATAGTAAAGAAAGAATATAGTCATATTTCAGTCATGGGAAAGGTGTAATATTATTTTCTAATTATCATTTATTAATTGCTGGCATAAAATTCAATTAAATTAATGTACAGCAAACTGTCGTAAATAATTGATTACCATAGGAAACAATAAATAATACCTTTCTTAGTGCCGCACCTAGTCGATTTGTAAGCAGAATAACATACATATGTCAAAAAACAGAATTAAGTAACTTAATTGGTTTTAGTACATCATCATGTTTAAGTTGTACATAACTCAATATTAATGGATATATAATAAATGAATATTCAAATAAATAAAGTTTCCTATAGATAAGCGTTTCGCTATTCACATATACAACTCATATGTTATAAGTTATATATATAAACAAAAGTGTTGTCTATATTTTAAATTAACAATTTTTATATATTTTGTACGCTTTACTTTTGCTTTACAAGTCTAATGTTATTCTATTTTATATAAAAATTGTGTTAAATTGGATTTATAGATAATGGAACTGAGTCAACGATAAATTAAAGAACAAACTGTGTACATTGGAACAACTAAATTTAGTAAAAAAACTATAGCATAAAAGATAAATAGCATCAGCTGCACATGTGACATATTTTAACGGTGTAAGTGCAGATATTTTTATATATTGTTCTATTTATATATAAATAAATATAAATATATATACATTTACATAATCTTATATAAATTCATATATTTATAAACTTATTTATATAATTGTTGGAAGATATTTTGTAAAAGTTTCACTATTAAATTAAATTAATAAATAATAATAAACTTGCACAACTGTTAGCTATGCGCAATATAATTTGGAATTGTTAGTGTCCACAGAAGATGCGAGTTGTTTGTCCGGTAGCAGCCATTTTACCAAAAAATATAATATTAAATTCCTTTAAGGTGTATTTGATGATACCGTCGTCGTGGGAGCTTGGCGGTAGTATATATTTGCACCTCTTATAGGCAAAGGATGTGCTTCTGTATTGAAAACCCATTCATCCAAAGGTAATAAAGAGTCATCCGAGAACAACAAATATAAATACTGTAAACAAAAAAAAAAAAATTAATTATCTGATATAAAGATAAAAAACAATTGTATTAAATACTTTTAATGTTTCTGCTAAAAAGAAACTTTGTTGTACGTCATCTTTTTGCGGTACTTCCTGATAAACATTTTTTATACCGCAATAGCCATGCGGCGTGCGACATTGCTTCTCTAATGCCTGTACAGCTTCCCAGCCCCAATCACGGTATTTTTGATCATGTGTTAGACGCCAAAGTATAAAGTAACTTTCAAACGTTTCTGGTCGTAATATATAGTATTTCTCTTGTGATTTCAAGGCACGAGCTTCTGCTGAATCACTAAATCTATACAAAAAAAGAGCAAAAATAAGTTTGTGTAAAAACGTGAAAGAAAATAATCTATAATTTAAGATCATATTTACCGAAAGGCTTCAGGCCCTAGTTTTGTAGCAGTTCTTATATAACTTTCATGGCAAGTATTTGTGATACCCTTACCGATATCCATAAATTTGTCAGCATTTTCATTTTGTCGCGTGTTGGCACCAAGAGCGAAAAGACCACCTGGTAATGTTTAAAATAATATATTTAATTAGGTAATCCCTTACGTTTTACAAGTTGTAAAATTAAACATACATGTACATATAAGAAAAACAATAACAGTTTAAAATTAAGTAAATATGTCTTGATAAAGTGGTTTTACTATAGCTATAAAGCATATTTTATGCAAAATTCAAAGATATTTTATTATGCAGATAAAATTATCAAGGTATGAAGCAAATTATTATTTAGGTAAAGAAATTTTTAATTGCATTTTCAATAACCATACTTCTGAAACCAATTTTGGAAAATATTTTTTGAATATTATTTCTAACTATGGAAATAAGCACATATAAATTGCAGATACTAGTAGCAGTCTGTCTTACAAGAAGACGCAGCTAAATCAGCTGCTTGGTGGAAGGTAATCCTAAAATGATTGCAGATTTAATCAAAAAGTTTATAGTGTCATAAAACGCAACTAGCCTTTCCAACCAGGTCTAGAGTGCCTTTTGTTAAGGAGTATTTTTTTTATTTATATTTGTAAGAATACCTATTACAATTTGCTCTTTTTGAACAAGAGTAAACCGAAACTCTTATACATCAAACAGCTTTAAAATGCAAATATCGCAAAATATATGCAATAGTAATATAGTAAACTTTAAAAAATTCATAATTTAATTATAACCTGAAAAACAAGCCAAGTGATCCATTTTATGTTCTAAACGATCGAATTTTAGATCTGATACATAAGTCAATCCATTCGGCGATGTTCGAACCATTTTCTCAATAATAGCTATCATTGCCTCATCAAACATTTCACGAGCTTCCTCATCAGTTTGGCCTGATTGCAACCATGCTTTCAAAAGATATTCATAAAAACTGTCTCCAAGTGCTCCAAGTGACATATGCACTAAAATTTAATTAAAAATTTATATTATTTAGATGAACATACTAATACATATGCTATATATATTTTATACTTACATTGGCCCCATTTGCCCGTTTTTGGATTTAAAAAGTTCGGATATAAACCTTTAGGTTTCTCAATTTCTTTAAGTACTTGTCGTATAGCTTGTACTCGTTCACGATATAATGGATTTCCAGTAATATCGCTTAAATATGCGAATTCTAAATGTAGAGTACCAAATTCAGATAAAATAGAACTGCCACCGGAAGCCCAACCATAATTTTTACTCATGCCTGTTTTAGTATTTACCAAAGCGTATGGTATACCAGTTGGCGTTTGGAAAGCTGGCAGTAATTTATCAGCAATATGTTGTGCTTTCTCTTTATACAAATTATCACCGGTAAAGGAATAGAGCGTTAATAGTCCACCCACAAAGCGTATGTTAGTCTCAAATACTGACAGATCAGCGCTAATGTTATCAAGTGAAAATTTTCTTTCAATCCAATCACGTCCTTCTTTATATTCATTATCCAAACCCATTAAATATAGTGTGTCTAGACCATCTACAATGGTTGCGCCAAGATCATATGCACCGAATATACTTCCGGAATGAGGGCGTTGACTTAGTGGTTTTAGTTCATTTTTACCCCAAGCATAAAGTTTATAGTTTTGCCACGCATGCACCATCATCTAGAAAAGAATAATTATAAAAATTATTATATTTTCTTTTAAAATAATAAAGAAATCAAAATAGTGGAATTAATATTTCTAATTGTAGATTTGTCTTAGACCGTAACATTGAAATGTTACCATATTTATTGAGTTTTTCTTATTAAACTAAAAAAACATATCAGAATAGCATATATCTTCTACTTAGCATTGATAAACTATTCCGAATATATAAGGATTACCAAATTATGGATACGTGCATGACAAGTTTGGACTACCTACAAATATGTTTAACGTTTACTTTTAAAATAAATATGTTTCATGTATAGTTTGCAATAGATATTGATATAAAGATTCATTTACTTGGGTTGATCAGAAATTTATAAGTTTTTCATGATATCGGTTACCACAAAAATTTTGATGAATCTGTTTTTTTTTTTATTTTACTTATATTAAGTTGACTTCTTATTTAGAGAATGGCTTGTGTCGGGAGTTTCCTTATGAAAAGAGGGTTTAATCATTTATATATTAACGATATTAATGAAATAGAAAACGAAATATTGAAATTGACAAATTTCAATTATATGGACTTTTTAATCACTACAGCGCCTTTCAGACGAAAGTTGTTGCTATTTGGAAAGTTATACCTTGCCTTAAAAATAATATATTAAATAGGTATATATTTATAATATTAGATACTCGAAATCCTTGGGTTTTGTCCAATTAAAGTCTAAGCTTTCAAATAAAATGGCGAGACGTTATAATATTTATCTTTTTTAAGTTACCTGTCATAGAAATATCTTAGGCAATTTCGAGACGAATAAGCTGGCCTGGGCAACATATCTGAACAATTGCTAACATCACACAAACCCGAAATTTAATTATATAGACAATTTAATATAAGATTGGAAGATTAAATGATATGCAGACATTTGTAAGCAATTTGGCCTATTCTAAATAATATGAAACTGGAAGATAAACGGTAAAGTTCCCTGTCTTATAGTACTTATGCTGAAAGATCTGGCACTTCTGAAATATCCTGAAAACAGTTGTTTTAAGTTTTTATATTTAATAGTTGATGTAAAGATTCAAAAATATGCAGATATTTGAAGTTGGTCCTTCTTAAATAAGAAAAATTTGAGTTGCCTTGTAGAGATATTAGTCTTTTAGTATGTATGAAAATCAGACACTGTCGGTTAAGAGAAAAACCTGGGTTATTGAATATTTTCCTGATTATCACCGCAGCTGTAAGTTGTACGGAGAAGGTATTTCACAGCTACTTTGTCACTGTCAAGCACGTGCAAAAAGTAGTATAAATAAGTAAGGAATTTATTATCTGCATAACATCTTAGGTAACTACAGGACTTTCTCCTTAAGAGCATCTTAAGTTTAATTGAGTGGTGTAGATGGCTTTGAAACTATCGAATTTTATATGATAACATAATATGTTGATAAATAACAAAATCTTTGGGATTGCCGTTATAACGTAACTTAACGTAACCTAAACTGAGTAAAAAAGTAAAGTTTATGCGAATAAATGCTCGATTCTTATAGTTATAAAATTTTATAAAATTTCATAAAACATTTGATAACTGCATTATTTTAATACATTTTTTTTAAAAGATAAGTCTACTTATGACTCTCTCATATATAATCTATGTTTATTTAGCAAATAGTAGCAAACACTTGATTGATATTTGCAATTGGCATTTATTATTTCGTTTCATTAAAAAACATCACTTATACGCACTGAAGCACCAACCAACATCATTTATTTTCGAATTGCATTGCTCAATTTAAATACTCAAATCTACTCATTTTTAAATGTATTTAAAATTTAAATATTAAAATATTAAGATTTATATAAATCAATGAACTCAATTCATAAATTTTTTATGATTTTAATTGCAGACAAAATTTATGAATGAACAACTTTGAGGTTTGATTTTTGTATCTTATAAATTGCAATCGGAATTTTAATTAAAAAATTTAATTGCGTCGAAAAGAAAAACACTGAAAATAATAATGAAATTATACTGAAGCTTTTGTATAAGTTTTTTATAATTTATATTCAAACTCTGACTGCAAATTAAAAAATAAAAAATGGAAAACATTGTCTGCAAAAATTATTGAATCATTGAATGAGTGGAACGAGAAGGCAAAAGGCATGGGTGTTCAAATCAATTTAAATAAAAATTAATTGCTCTTAAACGATAAAAGTTATTTTATACTTTTCGTCATTTCGATACATTAATAATTAATTAGGAAGAAGTTACTTAAGCATATAAGAATCAAATTTCAATAACAATATACAATGTTATTTATATGAAATTAGTTTTTATCTTTAGTTTTAATTAATAGTAATCAAATAATTATTATAAACTAGTTGGTTTTCATTACCATATTTAGTTATTAATGAAAGGTATTTTTTAGGATATACAAAAAAGTTGAGATTTGCAGAAAATCTGTTAAGGAAAGCATCAATTTAATCAAGGATTAGCTAGATTTACAAAATAGCAATTTTTGGTATAAAAAAAAATATATACATTACTTAAATATGATTCATTTATGTTAAGTGATTTGTTTTCTATAAGAATTAATTTATCATTTCAACTTTTCATAGAACTTTTCAAAGTTCATAGAACATCGTTAACTTAAACTAACGACTTAGTTTTGGAATAATAGATTTGTATTTCAATATTACAATGTGTATCTACAAAGTTCTTAAATTGCAATAAGTAGTGAACTATTACGATAAAAGTGGTGCTGAAGAAGATGTTTCGGCTCGACTGATCAGCTTTATAAGCTTCAACTATTTAAATTGAACGTCAAATCAACGTTGTATTACGAACACCAAATGTGGAAAAACTCGGCTCCTATTCAAACAAACAAATGCTTAAGAGGAATACTAAAAATATGGTGACCGGATTGCATATTCAATACTGATCTTTGGGAACGCACAGAACAAATGCAAGCTGTTACTGAAATCAAAAGAAGAAAATGGAAGTGGATTGGCCACACGCCCTGCGCTGGAATGACGAAAAACCGTGGACCTGAAACCAAATTACAAGAGAAGCAGGCAACAGAATAAGATTTAGAGGAATTGTTGACGCCTTATGCTCTACTAGGAGAGTAGAACAGCAGTAAGTTAATAAATGAGTAGTGAATTATAATATGCTGACGATGAAGTCAGAAACTTAAGTTAGCTTCCTATCAAATATATCTTATAAACAGTGTAAAGAACGACTTATGCAAAAATTTTTGGTAACAACTTTCTGCAAAGAAGTGTGAGTCAATTTAATCACTGTAAAATGGGCTCTACACGTTATCCAAATTGCATATCACGCTTCAATAACAACATCTTCTTTCGACTTAGAATTAGACGCTCACAATTAATTCATCCAATTCTGAGGGCTGGTTTAGAATCCCCAATTTTTTGCATATCTTTAGCGCAAATCAGAGATTTTTGTTTTCAATTATCAGTAGTATATATTTTTCTAACTTATGAAACACTATTTTCGAGTCATGCAATATACATCTTTTTTACTTAACATTGATCAGGTAGCCTGTACAAAAATGCATTAATAAAATTTGGTCAATAAAACCATAAATTCTTAATTTTATCTATTATTCTTTTTTACCTATTATAAATGCATTCATAACTTAATCGAATGCATTTAATCCATAGCTAAACCATCATAATAAAATATTATAATCGATAACCAATTCTAAATATTGTAAACTATTATAGACTTGAAAAAAAAATATAATTTATATAATGTGTTAAATCTGAATATTGTTCTGAATATTATCTTTATTATTTTAATGAAATGAAAACTTAAAATGAACTTCGTTCACTTTAATACTATAATTAATTTTGAATTTTAATAAATAGTGATGTTTTGATTGTTCAAAACAACACAATAATGTGAGATTTTAGTCACGAATTGTTTACAAAAATAATTATAATTATTAGATATAACTTTAATATGAATAATTTAGATAAAAATTGCAGTTGGATAAGATGTAAAGATGCTTGCTATTTGGATATATTTTTAAAAGAGCATATTACATTGTTTGGTAGGAACTATAAAACTTAATGGTTGATTGGTTGATTTTTATGAGTAGACCTTATACTCCTATTTAAGCATCACATAAGTCCTTTTAAGTTCGCTATAAAGTTTTTAAAAGCAAACTAGTCAATAAAGTAAATTAAGATTTTAATATCTAAATACATTTTTTGAATGTCAGTAACGCTCGTAAGTTTATAGAACAGTTTTAAGATTTTTATATGCGTTAAAACAATTTCTGCTTTTAATAGCATATATACTATTATTATTGTTAGGGGATGCGGCACTGCGAACATCAGGTCTATTGTCCTCCTTATGGGTTTAGAGTAGGACTCCTCAGCTACTTTACAGAGTTTTATTGCCACTTTCGTAAGAATATACATTTCCAGGAGCCTATTCCGTATGTGCGTTAACGCAGGACATTCTAACAACACATGTGTGGCCGACATTTTATTCTCTTTACCGAATCTACAGTTTACATCCGTAAGTATACCCAGTCTTCTATGCTTATACTGCTAAAGTTTTATTGAAAATTTGAAATATTACTAGAAATATTGCAGTTTCTGTATATTCAATATTGAACTTCAATATTGAAGTGTAAATTTAAAACCTCTTTATAGTGCAAATATCAATTTCTGATTCAGGAAACACTAAATAATATTTAATAAATAATAATGAAAGGACTCCCTATGTTAAACATTTTTTACGTAATATATCGAAGCGACGACTTCGAAGCCCTTAAAATATTATTTTAGCCCGACTTCGGTTACAAGTGTGATTCTTTGCTTAAGAGCCCATGAAACTAATTGGTGCTTTAGAATTAAATACCGTGAATTACAGTCAAATACCAAATACCAAAAAAAAAAAGCAATAACCAATAAAATTCTTACTTTTAAGCTTTAAAATGTTTTTTTTTTATAATTTTTAAAATAGCTGCTAACCATTATCGTA